AACATTAGATTGGCAACAGACCTATCCACAGAGACCTGGCAGGCCAGAAAGGACTGGCAGGATATATTCAGAGCACTAAATGAGAAAAATATGCAGCCAAGAATACTCTATCCAGCTAGGCTGTCATTGAAAATTGAAGGAGAGATAAAAAGCTTCCAGGACAAACAAAAACTAAAGGAATTTGCAAACACAAAACCAGCCCTACAGGAAATCTTGAAAGGGGTCCTCTAAGCAAAGAGAGAGCCTAAAAGCAACATAGACCAGAAAGGAACACAGACAATATACGGTAACAGTCACCTTACAGGCAATACAATGGCACTAAATTCCTATCTTTCTATAGTTACCCTGAATGTAAATGGGCTAAATGCCCCAATCAAAAGACACAGGCTAACAGACTGGATTAAAAAACAAGACCCATCAATATGCTGTCTACAAGAGACTCATTTTAGAACCAAAAACACCCCCAGATTGAAAGTGAGGGGGTGGAAAACCATTTACCATGCTAATGGACACCAAAAGAAAGCTGGGGTGGCAATCCTTATATCAGACAAAGTAGATTTTAAACCAAAGACTGTAATAAGAGATGAGGAAGGACACTATATCATACTTAAAAGATCTATCCAACAAGAAGATCTAACAATTGTAAATATCTATGCCCCTAACATGGGAGCAGCCAATTATATAAGGCAATTAATAACAAAAGCAAAGAAACACATCGACAACAATACAATAATAGTGGGGGACTTTAACATCCCCCTCACTGAAATGGACAGATCGTCTAAGCAAAAGATCAACAAGGAAATAAAGACTTTAAATGACACACTGGACCAAATGGACTTCACAGACATATTCAGAACATTCCACCCCAAAGCAACGGAATACACATTCTTCTCTAGTGCCCATGGAACATTCTCCAGAATAGATCACATCCTAGGTCATAAATCAGGTCTCAACCGGTACCAAAAGATTGGGATCATTCCCTGCCTATTTTCAGACCACAATGCTTTGAAACTAGAACTCAATCACAAGAGGAAAGTCGGAAAGAACTCAAATACATGGAGGCTAAGGAGCATCCTACTGAAGAATGAATGGGTTAACCAGGAAATTAAAGAAGAATTAAAAAAATACATGGAAACCAATGAAAATGAAAACACAACTGTTCAAAATCTTTGGGATGCAGCAAAGGCAGTCCTGAGAGGAAAGTATATAGCAATACAAGCCTTTCTCAAGAAACAAGAAAGGTCTCAAGTATACAACCTAACCCTACAGTGAAAGGAGCTGGAGAAAGAACAGCAAATAAAGCCTAAACCCAGCAGGAGAAGAGAAATCATAAAGATCAGAGCAGAAATCAATGAAATAGAAACTAAAAGAACAGTAGAACAGATCAACGAAACTAGGAGCTGGTTCTTTGAAAGAATTAACAAGATTGATAAACCCCTGGCCAGACTTATCAAAAAGAGAAGAGAAATGACCCAAATCAACAAAATCATGAATGAAAGAGGAGAGATCACAACCAACACCAAAGAAATACAAACAATTATAAGAACATATTATGAGCAACTCTATGCCAGCAAATTAGATAACCTGGAAGAGATGGATGCATTCCTAGAGATGTATCAACTACCAAAACTGAACCAGGATGAAATAGAAAACCTGAACAGACCTATAACCACTAAGGAAATTGAAGCAGTCATCAAAAATCTCCCAAAAAACAAAAGCCCAGGGCCAGATGGCTTCCCAGGGGAATTCTACCAAACCTTTCAAGAAGAATTAATACCTATTCTTCTGAAACTGTTCCAAAAAATAGAAACAGAAGGAAAACTTCCAAACTCATTTTATGAGGCCAGCATTACCTTGATCCCAAAACCAGACAAAGACGCCAACAAAAAGGAGAATTACAGACCAATATCCCTGATGAACATGGATGCAAAAATTCTCACCAAAATAATAGCCAATAGGATCCAACAGTATATTAAAAGGATTATTCACCATGACCAAGTGGGATTTATCCCTGGGCTGCAAGGTTGGTTCCACATCCGCAAATCAATCAATGTGATACAATACATTAACAAAAGAAAGAACAAGAATCATATGATCCTCTCAATAGATGCAGAAAAAGCTTTTGACAAAGTACAGCATCCTTTCTTGATCAAAACTCTTCAGAGTATAGGGATAGAGGGTACATACCTCAATATCATAAAAGCCATTTATGAAAAACCTACAGCAAATATTATTCTCAATGGGGAAAAACTGAGAGCTTTCCCCCTAAGGTCAGGAACGCGGCAGGGATGTCCACTATCACCACTGCTATTCAACATAGTATTGGAAATCCTAGCCACAGCAATCAGACAACAAAAAGAAATCAAAGGCATCCAAATTGGCAAAGAAGAAGTCAAAGTCTCACTCTTTGCAGATGATATGATACTTTATGTGGAAAACCCAAAAGACTCCACCCCAAAACTGCTAGAACTCATACAGGAATTCAGTAAAGTGGCAGGATATAAAATCAATGCACAGAAGTCAGTGGCTTTCCTATACACCAACAACAAGACAGAAGAAAGAGAAATTAAGGAGTCCATCCCATTTACAATTGCACCCAAAACCATAAGATACCTAGGAATAAATCTAACCAAAGAGACAAAGGATCTATACTCAGAAAACTATAAAATACTCATGAAAGAAATTGAGGAAGACACAAAGAAATGGAAAAACGGTCCATGCTCATGGATTGGAAGAACAAATATTGTGAAGATGTCAATGCTACCTAGAGCAATCTACACATTCAATGCAATCCCCATCAAAATACCATCCACTTTTTTCAAAGAAATGGAACCAATAATCCTAAAATTTGTATGGAACCAGAAAAGACCCCGCATAGCCAGAGGAATATTGAAAAAGAAAAGCAAAGCCGGCGGCATCACAATTCCGGACTTCAAGCTCTATTACAAAGCTGTCATCATCAAGACGGCATGGTACTGGCACAAAAACAGACAAATAGATCAGTGGAACAGAATAGAGAGCCCAGAAATGGACCCTCAACTCTATGGTCACCTAATCTTTGACAAAGCAGGAAAGAATGTCCAATGGAAAAAAGACAGTCTCTTCAACAAATGGTGTTGGGAAAATTGGATAGCCACATGCAGAAGAATGAAACTGGACCATTTCCTTACACCACACACAAAAATAGACTCCAAATGGTTGAAAGACCACAATGTGAGACAGGAGTCCATCAAAATCCTAAAGGAGAACACAGGCAGCAACCTCTTTGACCTCAGCCGAAGCAACTTCTTCCTAGAAACATCGCCAAAGGCAAGGGAAGCAAGGGCAAAAATGAACTCTTGGGACTTCATCAAGATAAAAAGCTTTTGCAAAGCAAAGGAAACAGTCAACAAAACCAAAAGACAACCGACAGAATGGGAGAAGATATTTGCAAATGACATATCAGATAAAGGGCTAGTATCCAAAATCTATAAAGAACTCATCAAACTCAACACCCAAAGAACAAAGAATCCAATCAAGAAATGGGCAGAAGACATGAACAGACATTTTTCCAAAGAAGACATCCAAATGGCCAACAGACACATGAAAAAGTGCTCAATATCGCTCAGCATCAGGGAAATCCAAATCAAAACCTCAATGAGATACCACCTCACACCAGTCAGAATGGCTAAAATTAAGAAGTCAGGCAATGACAGATGTTGGCGGGGATGCGGAGAAAGGGGAACCCTCTTACACTGTTGGTGGGAATGCAAGCTGGTGCAGCCACTCTGGAAAACTGTATGGAGGTTCCTCAAAAAGTTGAAAATAGAGCTACCCTATGATCCAGCAATTGCACTACTGGGTATTTACCCCAAAGATACAAAAGTAGGGATCCGAAGGGGTACGTGCACCCCGATGTTTATAGCAGCAATGTCCACAATAGCCAAACTGTGGAAAGAGCCAAGATGTCCATCGACAGATGACTGGATAAAGAAGAGGTGGTATATATATACAATGGAATATTATGCAGCCATCAAAAGGAATGAGATCTTGCCATTTGCAACGACGTGGATGGAACTGGAGGGTATTATGTTGAATGAAATAAGTCAAAAAGAGATAGACATGTATCATATGATCTCACTGATATGAGGAATTCTTAATCGCAGGAATCAAACTGAGGGTTGTTGGAGTGGGGGGTGTGGTGGGAGGGATGGGGTGACTGGGTGATAGGCACTGGGGAGGGTATGTGCTCTGGTAAGCGCTGTGAATTGTGCAAGACTGTTGAATCTCAGATCTGTACCTCTGAAACAAATAATGCAATATATGTTGAGAAAAAAAGAAGAAGAAGAAGAAGAAAGAAGAAGAAGAAGAAGAAGAAGAAGAAGAAGAAGAAGAAGAAGAAGAAGAAGAAGAAGAAGAAGAAAAAGAAGAAGAAGAAGAAGGAGGTAGCGGGAGGGGAAGAATGAAGCGGGGGAAATCGGAGGGGGAGACAAACCATGAGAGACGATGGACTCTGAAAAACAAACAGGGTTCTAGAGGGGAGGGGGGTGGAGGATGGGTTAGCCTGGTGGTGGGTATTGAGGAGGGCACATTCTGCATGGAGCACTGGGTGTTATGCACAAACAATGAATCATGGAACACTTCATCTAAAACTAATGATGTAATGTATGGGGATTAACATAAGAATAAAAAATTAAAAAAAAAAATAATAGAAATTGGGAATAACTGAAATTTCATCCCAAGCTACATGTGTAGAGTCCCTGAAAGGTGATCTGAGAGAAAACTGGGTACATGACCTTTGGTTATCACAGGTATAAAGTATTTTGAGCCATGTTGCAAGGAGGTCTGTTTGTTTAGCTTACTGACATTGGGAGAAGCTGAGATGAATTCATGTTGGTGAAGAATAATTCGACTGGTCACTATAAGGGCTGATAAAGCTAACATTCTCATTTACGTCACATTTTTCTTGCCCACTGATCCTCAGAAATCCACAGGGAACCACGGTTCTCTGAGGCTTTTACCTGGTGGTGAAGCTGACATTGCTCATCAGTCTTGGCTGTCCCCACATCATACAGTCATGTACCGTAGAATCAGAGAATTCCTTCATGCTGTTTTTCTTTACCATCACTGTTGTCCCTGCAAGAACACAGCAATCTTAATGAGTCAGCATATCTTTCTGGAAGGTATTTTTGAACCATCCCTACTGACTGACACATTTCTAGGCCCCTGGCTAGGGAGAGTCCTTAGCCACAGACTAATTCTAAGAGGATGGATTATAGAAATCTCTTTCATTTCCTTCTGCAGACTTAGTGGGGGGAAAATAATTGTGAGAATTTCAATACCATATGGATGCTTAAATAAGCACCTACTGAGTTGCTGCTGTACCTTCCTAAGACATCACCCCTTTGTCTCACGCAGGTGTAGCATCCGGGGAGCCTTCCTGCAATAGGCAGGGTCTGCAGCCATGTTTGGATTCCAAGAAAGGATCACTATACAAGTCCCCTTCTCCCCTTCTGCAGATACTACTCAGGCTGCAATTTAGTCCCAGTGGATACTGCCTTTTACTTTATGTTTTCCTTCAAAGGATTCCTTTATTATTAATTTTAACTTTTGAAGACTTTTGACCTTACATGGGCTAGGTCTCAAAACATATGTGAATTTCCAAACCTGGAAATAACACAAAGGGAAATAATTTTCTCATCTGCAAAACAGGGATAATACTGGGACTTCAAAGGATGACTATGAAGATAAATGCAAGAATGTTTGAAATTTAATAATTAAATGAGCAATATGAAGCTGCTTTGAGATGGAAAAAAACTGACACATGAGCCGTTACTTCTTCCTGCACTCATATGTTGATATTCCATCATGCCATTCTTATTCCAGAACCCAGATTCAACCTAGGAATCCTTTCAACACACTGGGCTAGGGCATCATTATTGGTCGATAAGAACTGGCACTTAGTATTGTGATAAGAAGTTATCATTCTAAAGGATGCTTGGAAGTTAAATGCTTCTCTTTCACTCTTCAAGGACCCTGAATCATTGGCCTGCCTGAATCAGATTCCTGGGTGTTCAGAGATGCAGAACTGTCTGAGAAGAAGTTATCAAGGAGATGGACAAAGTCAAAGAATAGCCATCACTGTTATTCTTCTTCCTTGCCCACCCAAGTGGAGAAAAGAAACATGGCCTTTTCTTCCTGTGTCAATTTAAGAATCATCTGTGTACTAAGACTAAGACTACTTTTTGTTCATGTGGAACAAACCTTTAAGCCCACACATCACCAGGTTTTAGACAATGGCCAGCAGAAAGAGCCAAACAAACATCTTGGTTTCCCTCTTCTTTTGATGTAATGCTTTCTGACCCATTCTAATCCATGGAAAATATCAATTGAGTGAAAACACACTTCTGGAAGTAGAGAGACCTCCTTTGGATGTGTGATTTGTCAATGTACATCAGCAGTAACTGCATCACATGGGTGTTCTAAGAGCCAGGTTTGGAGTAAGACTGTTCCCAACCTGTAATCCTCAGATACCTTCACTTATATATGGAGGCTTGATGGGGGTTTTTAGGTTGACTGGCATTTCCTTATTTCCTGGTTATCTTTTGCCCTGGGGGAAATGGCTCAGGGACAGAACATCTGAAGAAAATTCTGAGTGAGGACTGATGTGTCAACTGTCAGTCTTTAAAAGCTAGCCGCTGAGTACATGTGATAGAAGCTGAGCTATGGAATGCAAAAGGCAACATGCCCAAACTGGCTTAGGAACAATGAAACTTTCGGGAAATCTCTGTTTTCTCAAAGCCTAACTCGGCAGCCAACATTTGCCAGGTATTAAAAAACAGGTGGGAGGGGATAAGTGGGTGAGGCGAATGCTAGGTATGAACCACTCAACATTTTTGCTAAAACTTTGAATCTTCCCTTGTGTCATTCTTAAGAAAATCTCTTCTAAAAACACATTAAAGATCTGTATGATCGGGCGCCTGGGTGGCTCAGTCGGTTGAGCAACTGCCTTCGGCTCAGGTCATGATCCCAGAGTCCCGGGATCGAGTCCCGCATCGGGCTCCCTGCTCGGCGGGGAGTCTGCTTCTCCCTCTGACCCTCCCCCCTCTCATATGCTCTCTCTCTCTCATTCTCTCTGTCAAATAATAAATAAAATCTTTAAAAAAAAAAAAGATCTGTATGATCTTGGAAGCTTTCATAGTCATGGAAGTATGTGCATGTGGGGGTCAGAAAGAGCAGCCTATATGAGGGCTGACAGCACCTCTGGCATGGGCGGACTGCCTGAAGGCGAAAGGTGAATTGGCTCCGTGACCTCTCTTGGTCCCTTCCAACTCTAAGTCTATAATCCTAAGGACCTTTGCAAACTGTCTAAAAGTGTTCTCTTCAGCAGGTTGCAGACAGGGCAGTTAAGAACGTGCAACATCTTTTGTTGCCCTTGCCCCCAGTTTCTATGCTGCTTCAAACAATTGAGGAAAAAGCAAAGAATACCATCAAAATAGAAGCCAAAGTTCTCTCTCTCAAGGTTAATAAGCAACTGAAGTTTCTCTGATTATGTTCTAAGGTGGTTTGATTATTTTATTTAGTTATATTTTTATCTATCTACAGCTGACAGTGTGCAAGTATTTTTTCATATTTTAGGCAGGAAAAGAACAGAATGGATTTTTGCCTTATGCTCTAGCTACACTGTTAATGTCTTGTCATGGCTTCCTATGACCTCCCTATAGATATTTTAAAGGTTTCTAGATAAAACATTAGACATCAAAAAGGACATGGCATCTAACATCTGTGGATGACTGAGAGAAAAAAGTCCCTATAAAAAGGCCAATATTTTGATTACGTTTCTCTCTTCTTCAAGAAGTGGTACCCTTGGAAGCTACAGGCAAGCATTTTCCTCTTTGGCATATGTGATAGGACTACATATGAAGACATGCCTCATATATGATTTCCATATGGATAGTAGTAATTCTAACCCTTTCTATCTTCTTCAAGAAATCTTGTGACACCCCTAAAAAGTGATATCATATATTCTGGATAAGAACCACTACTCTAGGAGATGAAGAAGAAGCAGGACAACAGATCAAGCCAGTGCCTTAGTCTTGCAAAAGGAAGGATAGCATTCAACCATCTGCTTATTTTTTTATTTATATATCCATTCATAATCAGAAGTTTTTTCCAAGAAAATTATTATAGCCATGAAGGATGGCACGGATTGGCATAAAAAGAGGCTAGATCAAAGGAAACTAGCTCAGAAGATATTATAATCACTGGGATGAGACATACAGAGGGCCATAGCTGAGGTGGAGATGGACACCAAGGACTGGAGAAAATGGAGCCCTGCCATCAGTTATAGGATTAGAATAACAACTATCATGAATATAGGAATTCAAGGTGTTTGTGTGTGGTCTTTGTAGTTATCAAGTTGCTTTCCTTTTTATTGAAATTCAGTGGACATGTGGTCCCTGACCCTGCTTAAGAGAAGAAGAGTCATCTAAGAACCCCTTCTATTCTCTTTCCTATCTAAGGCCACTGGTACAGAAGGAGAGCTCTGACTGGACTTCAGAGCTGCTCAGGTAAGCCAAGCCAGGGAGACCAGCTGGTAGATTCATTAAGGACTGTCTATCTCAACTTTCTGGGTTTGGAATTCTCCTCCCTGGGAAACAGTGGCTGGGGTGACTCCTGTCTTAAAGGGGTCAATTTGTCTTGGATATTAATGAAAAAAGTGACCCAGGGACAAACCTAAAGAGAACCGTGAAATGGGGTAAATTTAAATTTGGACCATGGATCCAAACCATTCGTATAATTGCCTCCTGTCCTTGACTCCTTTCACATCCTCTTTCCAATTTCCTTTTCGAAATTCCTCTCTCCTTTAGGTATGACTCCAGGGCAAAAAATAACACTTTAATGAGGACTCTAAAACCAGTGCTCAGGGGATGGAGATTAGGGAAATCTGGACACAACTTTCCCCAGGACCATTTTTCTATTGCCCATCTGTATGCCACCCAGTGCATACAGATATTCCTGTAAGCTCCTCCTTGCCCTGGTTGAGGACCACAGCTCTACAACCTGAGGCCTCAGAGGTTTCCGTGGTGAAATAGCAGGCAGTGAACTGTATAATTAGGGCTGGAGAAGTTCCTGCCCAATAATTTATCTAGCTATAGTAAGCAGAAAAACAGAAAGACAACTACTTCTCCTGATCTGAAGGCTAGCCCTGCTAGTCTTCCTGCTGTGAACCCCAAAACATCAGGGAATGGGTTAAAATAAGTATAATCCACTAGGACTTCTCTGCCAATTCTTATTTCATCTGCATTTCATTGATGAGAAAAGAAATAATGAGATTCTTTTTGAGCTTATGTTCCCACGGGTAATATGATAATTAACATACATATACTTACTATTTTCCAGGTACGGTCTTAATGCTTTTTATATTAATATGCTCAATTTGTATACTCTTTATGTGCTAATATTCTCATTTAATCTTCTGAGATATGTGATATTATTATCAGCATTTTACAGTAATCTGAAGCACAGTGAGAGTTTGAATAATTTACTTAAAGCCACGCAGCTAAGAGGTGACCAATGTAGAATCCATTCTCTTCACTACCACACTTCACTGCCTCTCCAAAATGTTAAGATTATGAATTTAAGTGGAGAAACGCTGATGTGGTTTCAGCTTAGAAAAGTGCAAGTAATCAAAGGCAAGAGGGATTATAAATCACTGAACATCAGAATTGAAAAGGGCCATTGAGATGACAAGAACTGCCCAGTTTGGAAATAACGACAACACTGAGACCCCAAAAAGTAGCATGTCTTCCCTTAACCACAGTGAATCAGTGGCACAGTTGTCGTCAGCATTCAAGTCTTCTGAACTCTCAATTAGCATAGTTGGAGGAAGAAATTGGTGGGTCTCAGCAAACTCAGTTAACAATTTCTTTCAAGAAAGAAATGGTTATTAGAAAAGAGTGGACTGGAGATACTCTGCATCGGGCTCTGAAACATGAAATATTCAACCTGAAATTTCTACTAATCCAAAGATAGAAAATTTTTCTATTTTGCTATCTTTCTTCACTCCCTTCACTCTAGGTTCTTAAGTCCTTTTTGAAAGTTAATTCGCTGGGAGAATTTCCAGATATTATTATGAGTTTTAAACCTATAAGGTCAAAGAGCCCCTTTCTACAGTGATGTCCTCTTCAGCACATTTTGACTAGAGCTCTCTCCATATTCAAATTCCTACACAAGCCCACTCCCTAGCCCAGACCATGAGCATTTCATGGTACTCTGCTGCCATCGTCTGGCAAACTGAAGTCAAGAACAGCTGGTACCGCCCACTATTTCAGCAGCTGGGTACCAGATTATTTGATAAGAGTTCTCCTGGACACAGGGGATAGGCGTGGCAGGGGTGGTGACTAAGGATCAGTGCCAGGCAGGAAGAAGAAACGATCCTATTAAGAGAAGAATCAAAGATTCTGAGAATTGTGATCACTACAGGGAAGCTCAAACATTTGATTATAGGTTTATTTATTTATTTATTTATTTATTCCCTAGATACTATTAAATGCATGTTACAGAGGGGGGTAAAATTTGGCATATCTACAAATATGATGGCAGAGCCTTTCTATTTATGCAAAAATCTTTTCCTCTTTTTACTAGAGCAACTTCCTGCTTTAAAATATATATAATAAGGGCACCTGGGTGGCTCAGTTGGTTAAGTGTCCAACTCTTGATTTTGTCTCAGGGTCCTGAGATCAAGCTCCACACAGCATGGAGTCTGCTTAAGATTCTCTCTCTCCGTCTCCCTGTGCCCCTCCCACCCTGCTTGTGCACTTTCTCTTTCCTGCTCTCAAAAAATAAAATAAAATAAAATAAAATAAAATAAAATAAAATAAAATAAAATAAAAGTAAAATAAAATAAAAATAGTAAAATCACTTAAAAGCTGATTTTAACAGGGGTGATTATTAATTTTTATAAAACATTTTTTGTTTTGCAAAATGACTGAGAGAAGTGCATGCATACGAATGTGTATACTGAGCTTGCAAAAGTTTGACTTGTATACTGTGTTTACAGGAATACATCTACCGTGTGAAACCATGCTAAAGTTTCATATATTATAAAGATACATGTAGTGAGATGATACTTTTAATGTATTATTTTTTTCTTTCTTCACTCCTTTTTTTTAATGGGATATTTATGTTATTTATCCAGTCTCATCCCTTGCCTCAAGGAAGATTCATAGGCCATAGAACACAAAAAGAATCAATATTTAGCTTCTGAATCCAAAATAGGGTCTTGAAGCCCATTTAATTCATAATCTTCAGATGCCCATTTAATTCATAATTTTCAGACTTAAGGATTCAATGGCAACCCTATGGACAATAGGGATTTCAGGTTACCCTCATCCCAGATCACACCTAAGGCAGAGTTTCTACAGTAAGAGAATCAAACCAAGAAGACCAGAGGCTACCGCCACTGCCCAGTGCCCTGCTCAAACAGCAAATGTGTAACCCTGAGAGAAGTGGGTCACTGTCCTGGCCTCCAGGTCTGGAGCAGTGGCTCAGACATTCTGCCCAGAGGGAGAGGCAAGCCATGAGAATAGCAAGTGCTGAAGCTCTTCCCAAGGGAGTTGGTTTTATTTGGAACAGTGTGGAAAAGTTCAAGCCCAAAGGTGCTTTGAAAACAATGGTGATTTTGATGGCAAACAATTAGGTTGAGGTTGGTAGCTCCAGGAGAGCAATAAGGTAAACCATAGGCCAGAGTTTACTACAGTGAGACAGGAAAAGAGACAGCTAATAAATGCTCTCTTTGGGTCAGAAAGGACCTCAAAGACAGGCCCCCAAAACTAGTCCTGCAATGGGACCCATATTTAATTGAATAATACCTTAGAACAATATATGCCCGAGGTTATTGTCAAGAATAATAGGGTCAGCAGCAGCCAGTGGTGCACCCCAAGAGCTGGGTGTAATACCAACAGAGACAGAGAGATGAACAGAGAGATCAGGAAAGGAGACAATACAAAGAGCCCTATTAAAACCACCATCATCCCCAGGTGACCACGTGTCAGCTCAAGGCTGCACTCTGATGAGCAATATCAGAGCCTTAATGCTGCCAGGGGAATAGATTTCAATGAAATAGTCAATCCCAATCACTAATTCATTAATCAAACAAGCAATGACAACAAGCCCTGGTGTCCAGAGTTGCTACAATATATTATCTAAAAGTCTAGTTTTCAAAGAGAACAGGAAAATTATGAGATATGTAAAGAAACAGGAAAACACGAACCATACACAGGGGTAAAAAAAAAAAAAAAAAGCAGACAACACAAATGGCCTGTGCAAGGGTCCACATGTCACACTTAGCAGACAAACTCTTCAGAGCAGCTATTATAAATGTGTTCAAAGAATTTTAAAAACCATGATTCAAGAAATAAAGAAAAGCATGATGACAATGTCGTTTCAAAGAGACAATAATAAACAGAAATGATAAAAAAGAACCCAATGGAAATTCTATACTTGAAAAGTACACTAACTGAAGAGGGGTTAATGGACTAAATAGTGTCCCTCAAATTCACATGTCTACTTGTAACCTCAGAATGTGACTGCCATGGGCTGAACTGTGTCCTTCCCAAATTCACATGTTGAAGCCCTAACTCCCAGTGTGGCTGTATGTAGAGATGGACCCTTTACAGCAGTAATTAAGGCCAAATGAGGACCCTGATCTGATAGGATTAGTGTCCTTATAAGAAGAGGAAATGAGACCAGAGCTTCTCTCTGACATATGAGGACACTGGGGGGAAGGTGGCCATCTATAAGCCAGGAACAGACCTCTCTCCAGGAACTGAGTTGGCTGGTACCTTGATCTTGGACTTCCAGCCTCCAGAACTGTGAGAAAATAAATTCCTCTTGATTACGCCATCCCAGTCCGTGGTATTTTGTTTTGGCAACCCAAGCTGCATACTACAGTGACCTTAAATGGAAATGACATCTCTGTAGATTTAATTAGTTAGGAATCTCAAGATGAAATCATCCTGGATTTTGGATGAGTTCTAAATCCAAAACTGGTGTCCTTAAAAGAAGAAGAGAACACAGAGGAGAGACATAGGGAAGAGGGCCATGTGAAGACAGAGGCAGGCTTCAGTGATGCCAGCACAGGCAAGGGCCACCAGCAGCCTCTAGAGCTGGAAGAGGCAAGGAAGGATTCTCTTGAGAGCCTTCAGAAGGAGTGTGGCCCTGCTGAAACCTTGACTTCAGACTTTGGCCTCAGAACTGGAACAGAATAATTTTCTGTTGTTTGCAGCTACCCAGTTTAGGGTAATTTGTTATGACAGGCCCAGGAAATTAATCAAGGGGCTTATGATAGGTGCAAAATACACTCTCCCCCAAAGATGTCCATGTCCTAATTCCTAGAACCTGTGATTATGTCATGTTTTATATGGTGAGGGGGATTCAAGGTTGCAAATGAAAAGGCGCTAATCAGCTCACCTTGAAAGATTTTCCCGGATTAACCAGGTGGCTCAGTGTAATTATAGGAGTTCTTTCAATGTGGAACAGGGAAGCAGAAGATCCAGAGTCAGAGAAGGTAATGTGATGATGGAAGCAGAATCTGAGCGATGAGATATGAGAAAGATCTGACCAGATCTGGCTTTAAAGACAGAAGGGGGCCATGAGCCAAGGAGTACAGTCAGCCTGTACAATCTGAGTAAGCAAGGCCCTGGATTCTTGCTTAGAACTTCCATAAGGACCCCTGCCGGGTAGACCCATTTTAGACTTCTGAATGACAAAATAATGTTAATTTATCACAAAGCCACTAAATATGTGGTAATTTGTTACAGTGGCAATTGGAAACTAATGCAGGGCCCAGCAATAGATTTGAACTGCCAGAAGAAAAAAATCAGCAAATATAGGACAGACTGATAGAGATTGCAATCCAAAAGAGCAAGAGCAAAAGAGAGAGAGAGACAGAGAGACAGAGAGAGAGAAGAAGGAAGAAAAATAAACAATTCCAGAAATATGTGGATCCCCATTAAGTGTACTATATACATGTAAAGATAGGACCAATTAGAAGGAAGAGAGATGGAGGAAAAAAAAAATAATGAACTAAATCATCTCAAATTTGATGAAAAATATTAATCTACATATATGGGCACACCTCAGAGGTATTGTGGGTTTGGTTCCAGACCACTTTAAGAAAGCAGATATCACAGTAAAGCAAGTCAATGAATTTTTTGGTTTCCTAGTGCATATATGTTATGTCTATGCTATACTATAGTCTATGTGTACAATAGCATTATATTTTTAAAAAGTACTTAATTAAAAAAATACTTTATTGCTAAATAATGCTACCCATCATCTGAGCTTACAGTGAATCACAATGTTTTTGCTCATGAAGGGGCTTGCCTTGATGCTGATGGCTGCTGACTAATCAGAGTGGTAGTTGCTGAAGGTTGGGGTGTCTGTAGCAATTTCTTAAAATAAAACAATGAACTTTCCTGCATCAACTGACTCTTCCTTTTACTTGAACACATAGAAGCCATTGTAGGGTTATTAATTTTTCTAATTTCAATATTTTGTCTCAGGGAATAAGGCCTAAGGAGAAGGAGTAGAGTAGCTGGTCAGTGGAGCAGTCAGAACACATACCATACTTATCAATTAAGTTATATGTGTTATATGGGTATGGTCCATGACACTCAAAACAATTACAATAGTAACATCAAAGATCACTGACCACAGATCATCATAACAAATATAATAATACAAATAATACTAAAGTTTGAAATATTGTGAGATTACCAAAATGTGACATAGAAACATGAAGTGAGCAAATGCTGTTGGAAAAATGGTGCCAACAGACTTGCTTGATGAAGGATTGCCACAAAACTTCAATTTGTAAAAAATGCAATACCTGCAAAGTGCAATAAAGTGAAGCACAATAAAATGGGGTATGTCTGTATTATTTTCCTTTGAATGCTGTAACAAATTACCACAAAATGTTGGCTTAAAACAACATTCCTTTATTCTCTTACAGTTCTGGAGTTGAGAAGTCTGAAGTAATTTCCCCTGGGCTAAAATCAGGTCATTAAATTCCTTTCAGGGATTCTAGGGGATAATCCATCTCTGTGCCTTTTCCAGCTACTAGAGGCTCCCTATATTCCTTGCCTTGTGGCCCTTTCTTCCATCTTCAAAGACAATGGCATAACATTTTCTCTCTCTGAATCAGCTTCCATCTGCTTTAACCACAAGCCCTTTTCTCTTCTTTACATAGTTGTATCTCTTCCTTCTGCCTCCCTTTCATAAAGACCTTTATGACTACATTTAGATTCCACATGGATAATCCAGGATAATCTGCCCATCTCAAGATCCTTAATTTAATCCCATCTGCAAAGTTCCTTTTGCCATATGAATAACATTCACAGGGTTCCAGGGGTTAGGGTATAGCTATCTTTGGTGGCCATTACTTAGTCTATTACATTAGTGAACTCCAAATAGGATAAACACAAAGATATCCAGACACAGACATATCATAAGAACAATGCTGAAAGTCAAAGACAAGAAGAAAATCTTGAAAGCAGCAAGAGACAGACACAACTTGATTTACAAGTGAAACCCAGTGAGATAGATTAACAGATGACTTTTCATCAGAAAGAATGAAGGCTAGAAGGTAATGGGATGATATACTCAAAGTGTTGAAATAAATTGTCAACCAAAAATTCTATACCCAGTAAAACTATCTCTCAAAAATGAAACTGAGCCACACACACACAAAAAAATGATAAAGACTTCAGAAAGTTTGCCCCTCCATAAAAACAAAGAATAAACTGACAAAAATGGTCAGAATGAATTTTTTCAGAATTCTGAAAACTAACCGGCACTGACCCAAGAACAATTAGTCCAGAAAAATGAATATATCTCAGTAAAAACAGCAATATTTGTGGTGTTTTAACTTATATTAGTAGCATCTCCAACTCCCTAGCTAATTAGTATCCTTGAAAAATAATGCCCTATATCTTGGCGCCAGAGGGAGTAGAGCAGAACTGCATTTCTTTCAAAGCCTTATTTCCAAAGAGGAGTCATTATTTGACTTGTGTGGTAGTTCCCTGGATGATCCTACTTGAATGGCTTGTCTTTTTCAACTTTATTTGAACTTACCTAGTTCTAAAATCCTCTACCCAGTAAGCCGTAGCATGTTTTAGTATCACAGCTGCCTGAGGTAGTGGATAAAAGATAGGGCAAACAATAGACTAAATAAAAGTTTAAAGGGAAAATTGAGGAATGAGTTGTCCATAGGCACTTTAAAAAACTCTGAAACAGTTCTGAAAATGTAAACAACAACACACATGCCCAGGACTCCAGGACTATGTATAGATGTGTGCATGCTGAGAGGGCCCTAAGCTCTCACCTCTAACTGACTTTTATATTCTGTGTAAGCAGGAAATGAAGGCTAAAGCAGAGTTGTCAACTTCCTAGCTGAATATTGAAGGCATGCCTCAACAAAAACAAAATCACTTGACAAGTACTGGGAGATTTATTGCTTGCAGGTATTTAACAGGATTTCTGTCCAATTATTAGATGGCCACTAAACTAACACAATAGAGAATTCAATGGCTACAAATGACAAAGATGCAGATATCATATAGCTCATAAAAGTTACTTAAATAATGACAACTACAACAATCAGTAACAACAAAAAACACTGGGGAATAAGGTGGGTGAAATCTGATTTCCATAATTACCACATTTATATTTGCAATGTCTAATTTTCAACAAAAAGTTATGAGACATGGAAAGAAACAGGAAAGTATTATCCATACACAGGATGAAAAGCTATCTACAGATAGATACTGTCCCTGAGGAAGCCCAGACATTGCTTTTACTAGTCAAAGACTTTAAATCTATTAAAAGTTATTTTAAGTATGTTCAGAGAACTAAGGCAAATTATAGCTAAAGAACTAAAGGAATATAAGAATGATGTCTCACAAAACAGAGAATACCAATAAAGAATTGCAGTTATTAGGGGCACTGGGTGGCTCAGTCAGTTAAGCCTCTGACTTTGGCTCAGGTCATGATCTTGGGGTCCTGGGATCGAGCCCGGCATCGGGCTCCCTGCTCAGCAGGGAGTCTGTTTCTCCCTCTCCCTCTGCTGCAGCAACACCCACCCCCCCCCCCGCCAGCTTGTACTCTCTGTCTCTCTCGCTCTCTTTCAAATAAATAAATGAAAAATTTAAAAAATTTAAAAATTTAAAAGAGAGAGTTATTAAAAAAATAGGAATCTTGGAGTTGAAAAGTGTAATAACTGAAACAAAAAATTAGTGTAATTTGAGATCAAGTTTGAGCATGCTGAAAAAGGAATCAGCCAACTCAAAGATAGGTGGAGATTACCCAGTTTGAGTGACAGAATCAAAAATAAAGAAAGAAAAGTGAACAGAATCTGAGAGAGCCTCTGGGATGCCATATAAATATACCAACATCCACTTAATGGGAGTTGCAGAAGAAGAGAGAAAGGGCAGAAGGAATATTTGAAGAAATAATGTTCAAAAACTTCTCAAATTGGATGAAAAACATTAATCTATTAAACACAACCAAGAAGCTTACAAATTCTAAATATGATAAATTTAAAAAGATCAACATCTAGACACTCTATAATCAAACTACTGAAACGGCACCTGGGTGGCTCAACTGGTTAAGGACAGAATCTTAAAAGCAGCAGGAAGTGACTCATCATGTACAAAGGATCCTCAATAGGATTGATCACTGATTTCTTATGAGAAACAATGGAGGCCAGTAAGCAGTAGGATGACATATGCAAAGTCCTGAATGAAAAAAATGCCAAGAAACAATTCTACATCTGCTAAAACTATCCTTCAAAAATGAATGATAAATTAAAACATTTTAAGACTAAAAAAACCTAAGAGAGTTCATTGCTTTTAGACAAGCCCTACATCAGATACTAATGAGAATCCTTGAATTTGAGATAAAAGGACACTAATCAGTAACTCAAATCCACATGAAAAAATAAAGAGCACTGGTAAATGTATATTCCCATAAGTAAATATAAAAGAAAATATAGGGTTTTTTGTTTGTTTGTAACCTCTTTTTTTCTATCTGATTTAAAAGATGAATGTGTAAAGTAATAATTGCAAATCTATGCTGATGGCCACATATATATAAAGATATAATTTGTGATGATAACCTAAAGGGAAGAAATGGAACTATATAAGAATATAGTTTTTATATGCTATAGAAACTAACTTGACATTAATCCAAACAAGATTATTATACATTGTGATGTTAACAGCATATCCCAGGCCAACTACTAAGAAAATAACTAAAAAATATATATGAAAATAAATGGCAAGGGATTTAAAATGGTACATTAGAGGGGCGCCTGGGTTGCTCAGTCGTTAGGCGTCTGCCTTCAGCTCAGGTCAGGATCCCAGTGTCCTGGGATCGAGCTCCTCATCAGGCTCCTGCTCCATGGGAAGCCTGCTTCTCCCCCTCCCACTCCACCTGCTTGTGTTCCTTCTCTCACTGTGTCTCTCTCTGTCAAATAAAATCTTTAAAAAAATTAAAAAATAAATAAATAAAATGGTACACTAGAAAATATTTAACACAAAAGAAGGCAGTAATAAATGATTTCAGAAACAAAAAAGATGACATATAAAAAAAAACAACAAAAAAAGCAGTTGTAAATACTACCTTATCAGTAATTGCATTAAATGTGAATGAATTAAATTCTGCAATAAAGAAGCAGTGGGGGGGGCTGGGTGGCTCAGTTGGTTAAGAGTTCGCCTTTGGCTCAGGTCATGATCCCAGGATCCTGGGATCAAGTCCCACTTCCGGCTCCCTGCTGGACAGGGAGCTTGCCTCTCTCTCTCCCTCTGCCTGTCATTCCCTCTGCTTGTGCTCTCTCTCTCTCTATCACTATCTCTATTAAATAAATAAAATCTTAAAAAAAAATAAAATAAAGAAGCAGGGATTGGCAGAATGGAGAAAAAAAAAAAACATGATCCAACTGTATGCTACATGCAAGATACATAATTTAGATTCAAAGACACTAATAGATTGAAAGAAAAAGGATGAAAAAAGATATTTCATGCAAATGGTAAACAAAAGAGGGCTGGAGTGGTTATGCTAATTTCAGACAAAATAAAATTTAAGACAAATATATTACTAAAGACAAAGACATTTTATAGTGATAAAATGATTAATCTACCACTAAGATATAACAGACTCATAGGCACATAACAGTAGAAATTCAAAATACATGATTCATAAAACTAACATATTTAAATGGGAAAACAGACAATTCAACAATAATAACTGGAACTTTAATACCTCACTTTCAATATCAGATAGAACAACTATCCATTGTTCTATCAGCAAGGATCAGCAAAGAAATATAAGACTTAAAAAAACCCTATAAACCAACTAGACCTAACAAACATCTATATAACAACAATGTATAGTTGAGAATACATAGTCTTCTCAACTATACATTGAATATTTTCCAGGATAGATCATATAATAGTCCATAAAATAAGTATGAATAAATTTAAGGGAATTTAAATCATACAAAGTATGCTCTTCAACTACAACAAAATGAAATGAAAAATCAGTAACAAAGGAATTGGGGAAATTCATAAATATGTGGAAATAAAAACAACACATGCCTAAATAACCAATGGATCCTCCCCCTACAAGTCACAAGTGAAATTATAAAATACTTTTAGATGAATGTGAAAATGAAAACACAACTCATCAAAAATATGACATGCCCCTAAAGAGTACTTAGAGGAAATATTACTGATATTAATGCCTTTATTTATTAAAAAAGAAAAAAAAAGATCTAAAATCACATGACCTAATCTAAACTTTCTTGTTAAGATATTGAGAAGAGAAAATTAACCCATATCAAGCTGAAAGAAGGAAATAATAAAAATTAGAGTATATATAATTTAATTAAAAGATTGAACAACAGTAGATAAAGATAAATTAAAATTGGTTCTTTGAAAAACCCAACAATTAAAATTGACAAAACATTTTTGGCAAGACTGACTACAAAAATGAGGAAATACTCATATTGCTAAAATCATAAATGAATGAGCAGATATTAGGCAAGAAAATGAAGTAAAAGGCCATAAAAAAGGTATTGGGGCTAATAAAACGAGTTCAGTAAGGTTGCAGAACACAAGACCAATACACAAAAATCAACTGTATTTCTATATCCTAACAATGAATCATCTGCAAACAGAATCAAGAAAACAATTTCAGGTGCACCTGAGTGGCTCAGTTGGTTAAGTGTTCAACTCTTGGTTTCAGCTCAGATCATGATCTCAGGGTTGTGAGACAGAGCCTCATGTAGGGCTCTGTGTTCAGCGTGGAGTCTCCCTTTGTGCCGCACCCTCCCCCCCTCCCCCAGCTCACGTTCTTGCTCTCTCTCTAAAATAAAGAAATAAATAAAATCTTAAAAAAAAAATTGCATTTACAATAGCACTAAAAAGAAAGAATACTTAGGAATCAATTGAACACAAGTAGTATAAAACCTATTATCTGAAAATTATAAAACACCACTGAAGGATATTATAGATATAAATAGATATAAAGACATCACATGTTCATGGGTCAGAAGACTTACTATTTTAATAGCAATATTTCCAAAACTGACCTATAGACTCAACACAGTGCCAGTCAAAATCCCAGGTGGCTTATTTGCAGAAATTGACATATTTATCCTAAAATTCGTAAGGAAATGCAGGGACCCAGAATAATCAAAACAATCTTGGAAAAGAATAATAAACTTGGAGGACTCATATTTCTAAATTTCAAAACTTAATACAAAACTATGGTAGTTAAGTCAGTGTGGTACTGACACAAAGCTAGACATACAGGTCAAAGAAATAAAACTGAGACTCAGAAATAAACCCACACATTTGCAGTCCATTGTTTTTTGACAAGTTTACCAAAAACAGTTCAATGGGGAGGTTTTTTGAAAAAATGGTGCTGGGACAACTGAATATTCACATTGAAAAAAATGAAGTTGGAGCCTTTCCTCACAATAAACATAAAAATCAACTCAAAATGGATCACTGACCTCCATGTAAGAACTAAAAGCATAAAATTCTTAGAAATAAAGTATTGGAGTAAATCTTTATGACCTCAGGTTAGCTATTCCACAAAAACACAAGCAACAAAAGATAGAATACATCACTAGACTTCATCAAAATTTAAATTTTTGTACCTCAAATTGTATGAAGAAAAGAAGAAGACAAACCACAAAATGGGAGAAAACATTGGCAGAACATACATCTGATAAGGGACATGTATTTAGAATATATAAAGACTGTATACAACTCAGTAATAGAAAGACAACAACCCAATTTAAAAATGGGTAAAGGATCTGAATAGACATTTCGGAAGACATACAAATGGCCAATAATATCCTCATAAAAAGATGCTCCACTTCATTAGCCATTAGGACAATTCAAGTTAAAACCACAATAAGATACCAATTTACACCCATTAGAATGACTATTATTTTTTTTAAAAAGAAAATTATTTTTAAAAAAAGGATGTGGAGAAATTGGAACTCTTGTGTATTGCTGATGGGGAATGTTAAACAATGTAGCTGTTATGGAAAACAGTATGGCAGTTTCTCAAAGAATTAAACATAGAATTAATATCTGATTTAGCAATTCTACTTTGGGTATATACACAAAAAAATTACAAGCAGGAATGCAAACAGATATCTGAGCACCAATAGTGGAAACAATTCAAATGTCCATCAACAGATGAATGAATAAACAAAATGAAGTATATCCATACAATGTAATACTGTTCAGCCATAAAAAGAGATGAGGTATTGATACATGCTACAACATGGCTAAGTTAAGGGTGCCAGACACAAGAGGCCTCATGCTGTCTGATTCCCATTTCATGAAATGGCCCAAACAGGCAAATCTATAGACACAGAAAGTAGACTAGTGGTTGCCAGGGGTGTGGACAGAAGAGAATGGGCAGTAACCACTACTGGGTATGGAGTTCCTTTCTGAGTTATGGAAAATGTTCTAAAATTGTAGTCCTGGTTGCACAAATCTGTTTGCACACTAAAACCCATTGAATTGTATGCTTTAAAAGTATTTATTTCATGGTATTTAAATTATATCTTAATAAAGCTATTGAAATATAAAAATGTTAGAGCCAGGATCTCTCAGAAAGGACCCAGCCCACTCCCCACCCCCCGCCCCCACCAACACACACAACTTGTGTTTCAGGTTGGTGAGGGGTGGCTGGACAAGGAAAATATGATAGCTTTAGTGGTGTGCAAGGGGGAAAAATGAGAGATGTGTTTTCCATTTTCATATGGATTTTCATCGATGAAGGGTGCTTAGAAGAGTATTTGGTAACAATGTAAGATGACTATGGAGGAGGAGACAAGGCAGCAGGTGGGTTTAAGCAGAGAGAAGGCCTGAGAGGGCTCCCACCTTCTGACATGCATGTATATACACCAGGAGACTGGAAATTCCCAAACAGCTGAGGGGCCAAAAGAACATATGGAATGAAAAGACCAGGAGTACAGGAAAAGGGGCTTTGCTGACCTCAAAACCAAAGGCTATGTATGGCAGGGATGATGAATTTCAGTAACAAATGACAGAGGGTGACTCAAAGCCAGGAAGAACTGTGACTGTTTACTGATGGAGAGGTCACAGAAACTGACAGTTACCAAGGGAATGAGGTACCTCAGGAACCAGGAAGGACTTGTATGAAAGGGTATCTTGCTGTCCACTATAAGAACAACCATGGGGGTGCCTGGGTGGTTCAGTCAGTTAAGTGTCCAACTCTTGATTTAGACTCAGGTCATGATCTCAGGGTTGGTAGATCAAACCCCAAGTGGGGCTCCACACTGGGTGTGGAGTCTGCTTAAGATTCTCTCTCTCCCTCTCCCTCTCCCTCTGCCCTTCTCCCCACCCTCCCCTCATGCTTGCTCTCTAACTCTCAAAAAAAAAAAAAAACCACAAACAAAAACCCAATAACCATGATGTTGAGCAAATTTACTCCTACATTTAAATATAATACTGGGAAGAAGAAAAGAATAAGTACCTTAGAGATAAGAATAGTCCTGATAGGAAATTCAAATTTTGAATTAAGTTTAAATGCTGAAACACTAGGATTTTACCCATAGAATCTTAAAGTACTTGGAAGAGACTAAGTTTTAAACTATAGGAGAAGAAGTTATCATGAAGGCTTGAGACAATTTCTCTTTTGCTGTTCTAGGGTAAGGTTGTTGGTAAGCTATTGAGTTCAATTAGAGACAAGAGAAAAAATTACATTTCCTCATCACTGTGTCAGAATGAGTATATTTTAAATCCCCTACAATCCATTCAGTAGACAGAGTACTTAAGGAATGGTACTGTTCCCAGCACTAGGAGAAATGATAATTATGTGACAAAATAGAAGTGTTAGCTAACACTAGAGTGGCAACCATATTGCAATATAAATAAATCAATATATAGCACACCTTAAATTTACACAATGTTGTCAAATAAACATAGCTCAATAAAAATTTTTTTTTAAAAAAGTGGTCATGAGGTAGCTTTGTGGCCAACCAAGCAGTCAGATACAGGCTGCCTTTGAGACTGAAGATGGGAAGACCATTGTGATGGAGTGCAAAGCAATGGGCTGAAAGTCAGCAGGTCTGGTATTGAGTTGGGGGGTGCCTCCAATTGGCCCTTGACTTTGAACATCATTGAATCTCTTTCGGTACTCATTTGCTTGGCCTGTGAAGAAGTCTAACTAGATACCTAGCAAGATTTCTTCCAGCTCTACAAGACTGATTCTCAGGTCTTGTATGCCCAGTTTGGGGAAATATCTGCCACTTCTTGGCCAAGTTCAAATGGGTATTATCTTTTAAGAGATAGAACTTCTCCTCTTTCTTTGGCCATGCCCCAAGAAGCTGGGTTGAGGGCAACCAGATATAAAGTGCAGTTACCTGGGAAGTGTCGATGGCTCTTGGCTTTGCAGCTACATTTTCCAATTAGCTCAGGAGCAAAGATATCACTGTGACAGTTGGCACAATAAAAGGAGGCTCTGGACAATGAAAGCAAATCAAGAATGACTTATATGAAGCTTAACACTAAGGAAGCATGGTGCTGACTCAGTTTGTCTGCCATTAAGTTGCATTTGCTTTAGGACTTTCTCCCCATAAAGTAATAAAAAAATTACCTTATGACTTCCTTTGTAGATTCAGCAATAAAGAATCCTAGTGTGTTCTTACGCAGCCTAACTTGTGCAGGTGGATTTAGTAGCAGACCACTGGAAACAGAAAATAAAAATACAGTAATTGTCCCCTTTAATTTCTGTGGCAATATTTGTTGTTTCATTCTGTCATTACCAATGGATTCTCTAAATTGTAGAGTTAATAAGAGTCCATCTCCTTTTACTGCCAAACACAGTAGAAAAACCGCATTTGATTATATATCTTTGATTGGTGCTAAATATCCAGAAGAGAGTAAGGTCACAACATGATTGCTGAGCTGCACACAGCTGAGCTAAGGGTGAGCTCCTCCCTGGACTGTATTTTGAATCTGAAATGGTTAAATCAACTCAGATGCACGAAGCCTTGCTAATTAAGGCTACCCAATGCCATGGCCACATGGTTCCAAGTCTTATGGTCATAGTAGTGGTGTTTATCCTTAGGCTACTTGCCCTTTAAAATTAAATTATGTCTAGTTAACCAGCTGGATTCAAAAGTTCCTTTTATTTGCCTATGCAGTTTTTGAATTTGCATATTTCTTTTGACTTCATTTTTTTTTCTATCTTGATTGCCAGATTTCTGAGATCAGGAACCACATGAATTGTTTCTATTCTGTATGAACACTTTGATGTTCTCTTTCCACATGGTTTGTGTGTTTGAAAATGACATCTTACAAATTTCACCCATGATACTCCTTGATGCAGTACTATATTACGACTATTTGAATTCCTCACATTTATTCCTATGTTTGTCAGGCTATCCCATTTTTATTACCTTAAATTCAGACCTCCAACACGATGAGGTCTTATAACCTTGAAACTACCATCACTTCATTTGCTCATGGTAAAAGTACTCCTTTACTCCCTTAAAACACTCCTTTCATATTAACACTGGAAAGAAGTCAAGTCTTAATTTTGGCAAAGTTATTCTGTTGTTAGGGTACTCCAAAGTAACTTGTGAGTGTAAGAGCCTTACAAAAATAAAAAGGGTTGTACCACAAAATCTCTTCCACACTACGTCAAGAGTAGAAAGATGCTGAGTAGCTGGGTTGAGGGTGTATTGAGGTAGTTTATTTTATTTAAAAAAAAATTTTTTTAATTTATTAGACAGAGAGAGAGACAGTGAGAGAGGGAACACAAGAAGGGGGAGTGGGAGAGGGAGAAGCAGGCTTCCCACGGAGCAGGGAGCCTGATGCGGGGACCCTGGGATCATGACCTGAGCTGAAGGCAGACGCTTAACGACTGAGCCACCCAGGCGCCCCTGTATTCAGGTAGTTTATTATCTGAGACATTGGATGGCATTTTCCAAATGTTTACTGACTGATACTAATGAGCAGAATAAATGCTTTTAACTTTGAAAGGAAAAGAACACGGATTCGTGCCCCCACCCCAGTATCATTGGCTGATGTTCACTAGCTTGCAAGCATAAACTTAGTTGTATCTTCGTATCTCTTATTTTTAAAGGAGTGTCCTCTGAACTCATATTAAATATTTAGTTATGAAGATACAGTCACAATAATAGCTGTGGTTGTATTTGAAAGAAGAGGTGAACTCCCTTTGAAGATTTTTCCAAACTGGCTTGATATCCTCTTCATAGATCATGGCCAGTTGCTCTCTAGATAATGTTCGCTACTGGAACAAACTTAGAACATTATCTGACTAGGGTCAGATCCAGCTTTATCTCTTAGCAGATGATAAATTATTCCCCAAGACAAATCCTTATGATTGTCAAAGGCCTTTCCAAGTTTTTTAAAATATTTATTTACTTATTTATTTGAGAGAGAGGAGAGAGAGAGCATGAGCACATAAGCAGGGGGAGGGGCAGAGGGAGAGAGAGAATCTTAAGCAAGCTTCACCTAGCTTGGAGCCTGATGTGGCGCTCCATTTCACATCCCTGAGATCATGACCTGAGCTGAAATCAAGAGTTGGATGCTTAACTAAGCCACCCAGGCGGCCTGGGCTTTTCCAAGTTTTAAAGTCTGTTCAAGTGTATCAGTTAGAAGAGAAAATAAAAGGTAAGAACAGATGGGTTTCCCCTCCAGTTTTTCTGTATACTAGTTTAAACCCCAGCCACTGAGATGCCCTATTTTCCTTCCACTTATGGCTGTGGTAGATTTAGTACAACATAGTGATCAGAATCACCACCCCCAGAGTCATGCTGAGTTCAGATGCTGGCTCTGCCACTTGGGACTGATGTGAGTTTGGGAAAATTATTTAACTTTTCTGGGCATCATCTTCCTGCTCTGTAAAATGGGACTAAGAATTGTACCCATTGTTGTAGAGATTCAAGAATTTATGTAAGTGAAGTGCTGTAGCACTGTTGGTCATGAACTAGCAATCATGTAAAAGACTGTTATTATCCAAATCAGGATTTAATCTTTTTAATTCACCTGACTCTTCGGTGAGAAACCAAAGTTAAACGTAATTTGTATCAGGTTCCTCTTTCATTAGGGGTACATATGTGCTAGGTACTAAACAGCATCAGGATATCTTGAATATATGTGGAAATTAGTTGCCTAATAAATGTTTGTGTTTCTAGTCTGCGAAGTCCCATAGTCATCCTAATGAAGTTTAAAGAAATCTAGGATGCTAAAATTAGAAAGGATCTCAAGAGCATTTGGTGCAGTAGTTTACAAATACCAGTGAAAAAACTGACTATATCATGGGGACTTTAAAAATTCTCTTGTCCCACCCTTCCAGATTTTGATTTTGTAAAATTCAGAGTGGGATTTTGGAATCTATATGCCTTTAAAGCTTTGCAAATAATTCCATTCCACAGTCCATGTTGCTGAAGGCCAAGTTCTGGGCCAGTCTAAAACCCAAAATGCCTGGCTTATGGTTCTAAGACTCCATCCTTTTTATGGTGATCTATTTCTGGCAGAGAGACCATTTGTGCACAGATTTAGATTCTGAGATTTTCTTGAGCACGGCAGGATTGTTAAATAGAATTCAGCCAGCCAGACAATACTATTTGTTATCCTCTCCTTAGTGACTTCCTTTGTACAGTACCCCACTGACTTCTTTTGCCCAGATATATTTTGTAAAATGTCTACTTCGATTTTTCTTCTTTCCAAAATTTCATATAAAATTGTTCCTTTGTAGTCCATCTGGTATCATTCAAACTTGTTGAATTTTGACTATTTCCCTATAATTCTAAGGCTCCTGATAAGGTCAGTTTTAGAGCTAGAAAGGGTCTCAGGTATTAACATGACTTCCTCATTTCCCAGAGAATAGATGTTTCTCCAACACCACGGAGCTAGTGAGTCATAATCAAGATCAGAATTTAGTCTGTTGATTCCAATTTAATTCAACTTAGTTTTCTACTAAAAATCATACATAAGCCAATATAATAGTCTTTCTTGTTCCCCATTCCATTTAATCCCTCAGTTTTTCTTATTTTTCAGCATTTTTTCTCTCTATGTATATCATTGTAGCTAATTCGCTGTTTTTCCTGGATTTTCTTTTTTATTACATGATAAATTATCTTACTTCTCGCATTATCCATTATGGGTTCTCAAGAAATTCCAATGTTCTAATAATGTTGCTTCTTTCTTTTATCTACCCTACCAATAGCAGACTTTGTCCGGTAGGCGAAATTCCCATTTTGCCATATTTTGTAGCTTAGTTTCTAAAGCTACAGTTGGTGGGAGCATTTTTTGTCATAATTCTTTTCATAGTACTATTTCATGGTCAAGACTTACAAGATCTAGTAATAAATTAAAAGGAACAGATCTGAGAAGGTGACCATTTCTTCTCTCCCCTGCTTATGAAAGAGAATTTGGGGAGGGCTGTGGGAACAAAGGCAAAGCACCTGTCTACCCACTAGGGTAACCATTCTAACACCAATCATTAGATTCTAACCCCAATCATTAGAGACAGTACCAAGTGCACCATAGCAGACCGGGTGCCCAACAGGCTGGCTCTCAACAAAAGGCAAAAGTTTAGTTATGGCTGCATTTTTGGAAAAGTCTTAATCATAAAGATTCTCCTTTAAAAAACTGAAGAGATTCAAAGTCTCATTGGTACCAGTAACCATGAAACATGGATTTGTGTTCGATGGCTATCAGCATGAGTCCCATCTTCACAAAACAGAGCCTAGGAAGGAAGACAAGTAATTGTGAGGAAAGAGGATAGCAGGGTGCTAATTTATAAGAATATGACCAATACTGTGTGCTCTGTGCCTGGGAAGACATTAGTACCTCAGCAGAGGAAGAGCCTCCCAAATGTAAGTGAAACCATTCTAAAGTATGTCTGTGACAGATATGAAATTGTCCCACATAGACTACAATCTTCTAAATTGCAGAGATACAGACTTGTTTATTCTTACACCTTCAGTGTTTATCATGGAGCCTGGCCCACAGTGGCCCCCCAGTGAACATTGTTGAAAGAATATCATTGCATGAAGAAAGAGGAAAGTATTTCTCTTAACTTACCGGGAAACTTCAGGAAAACTCATTCCAGCAAAGTCATCAGAGAGACGTTGAGTCAGGATTTTGTTCTTCAGGCCATTAAAGAAATATTTTTGCCAGGGCTGTTTAGGAGAAACCTGGAATACATAATCATGCCACATGTAGCACACTGATATGGAATAAGGGATGTTATAATTCAAGTTGTATATCCTGCTAAGCAGCAAACCAGCACCCATTGTGCTTAGGTCATAGAACGGAGATTTGTCCTAGTGGTTAACTGAAAAAACGTCAAAGGCAGAGCTAAAATTCTACCATATACCTCAACTATTTACACTAGAGAGTTCAGAATGAAGTGAAAGTATCATGACTTGATTTCTTCCCAGATGGCATTCAAGACTCCTTGCTGGAAACTGGAATTCTTCTCCTTATAATTTCAGCAAGGTAGACTGGTTTTTGAGTCAGTAACAGTAAGAGAAGGATAATATGGAATCTAAGTTGTCCCTCCATAGATATGGCTGTTCAAGATTTTTTTTAAACATATTAAGTTTTCTATTGACTAGCCATACACCACAAAGAAAAAACATTCAAGGCATCTGCCCAGTATCAGAACTCTTCATAGCTTCAAATGAACTTAAAGAGCCATCTTGATAAATGGAAACGAGAATATAAAAATCAGGGACAGCAGTAGGTTTCTAGAGAAAAGGGAGATGAGAGGGAGAAGGATATCTCTCAAAAAGGCTAAATACAGCCTGTAGGGGATGTGGCCTGTTGGGTAACTCGTCTCTGATATTTGTGTAAGAACTCAGAATTTTGTTATGCTCTCCATTCATTCTCATCATTCTCCCCCCATCTGCTGCCATGAGACCCCACCACACTGCTCTGATGAGGAAGGGCAGGCTCCTCTTAAAGCCCAGAATCCCAGGTGAATGTCTGGAATTTCTATAAGCTCTGAAACACTTTGGCTGTGGAGGGTTAAGGCCGGTTCAGAAATACTCCTCAGATGGCCAGCCTGTGGTTTAGAAAACACAACACAACACACACACACACACACACACACACACACACATCCTGCCTTACAAAAAAGGACTACTTGTATCAAGCAATCCGGGCACTTGCCCTGCAATCCCCTTTCCAAGATTCAGCTGAATCTCCTATCTTCTCCCACCCACTTTCTTAAATTTCTCTATTGAGAGCACTCACTTCACTGGGAGCCCCTGTTCAAGTCCCCATAACTAAAAAAATGGGCTTACTGCTTCTAATGTAAATGTTTCAGTTTTTGAAAGAGGGCAAAAAAATGATAGAAATGGAGATGCCTTACTGTGTTCATTTTTTAAAGATCAGAAAGGGAAACAGGATGATAAGATGGATTTTGGATTTAGATAGTAGAATCAGGGAGCTCAAGTATGTCAGTTGGTGTAGATCTAATCTAAGTTTAAGCCTAACACAACTGGAAATGCTTTTTGGACTATAATTTCTCACCATATAATTAATATAGTTGAAACACATAGCATTGATCCAAGGTCTTGAATCTGAGTACTTGGAAGTTTTACAGATATTAATGTAATACTTAGAAAAATCAGGTTAGGAGATGAATAACTCTCATTTTACTGATGCAGAAACTGACAGAGAAAGTAAGTGTCTAATTCAAGAAAATTCAATCATAAGACACTGGAGTCCTAGCTGTTAATCCTAAGTTAATTGTTTATTACAGAATCTAAAACACCAGAGCTATGAGTATAGCATTAAAAAAATCTTACCCTGTCCTTGCCTAGTTTAGGATTTCTGAAAGTGGGTTTTAGACTTCACTTCCAAAAAAAAAAAAAAATTATTGTAACCACAAATCTCTCACAATTCTTATATCCCAAAAGTCTTCTTTTTTTAATTTTAAGATTATTTATTTATTTATTTGACAGAGAGAGAGAGAGAGAGAACAAGCGAGGGAGTGGCAAGCAGAGGGAGACGGAGAAGCAGGCTCCTGCTGAGCAAGGAGCCCGATGAGGGACACAATCCCAGGACCCTGGGATCATGACCTGGGCTGTAGGCAGCTGCTCAACTGACTGAGCCACCCAAGCACCCCCCAAAAGCCTTCTTATGATGAATATTGACAGATGACCATCTTCAGTGAGATGGTTACAACTTTAGATTACACAGAAAGAACAACAACATAATATAGGGTTAGTTTTAAATTTCTTCCTCCTCTATTTCCATGAAAGACATGAAGTCTTCATAGAGAGCTCTCATTCCATTTACTTTCTTCAGCCAAGGAGATGAAAATCAGAGTCATCACGATGGATGTTATCTTGTTACTATGTAGACTGTATATACTATGATACGACTATCATTCACTCTTGTTAATGTTTTCCAGTCTTTAAAGTGTCCATAGACCAGCAGCCTGGACACCCCGGGAGATTTTTTCAGAAATGAAGCCCCATTCAGACTTCTGGAATCAGAATCTGCATTTTAACCAGACTCCCAGGGGATTTGTATGCACAATTAACGTTTTGGAAGCACCCTCTCAAACATCCCTGTCCTTGAGACTTGGTGAAAAGTGATGGATTCAAACCCCCAGAGTGGTGACAGTTTACAAATTCCATTGTCTTGGCTGGAGACTCCATGAGAGCCAAAGCAAGTCACTGTACATGTATACATGTATAACAATCTGGTAGAACAGTTATCTTGCACTTTCTAAGTACACAGCACAGGCAGAGACAATTTCCTCACAAGCATTATCAAGGCCATACACAGTGAGCAGGAAGAGAAGGCTAAGGCAGGTTCATTATAGCAGCATCAAGGCTCATTTCCTACTGCCTGATGGTCATCTCTATTTATCTGTGTATGATATTTCCTCACATTCACAGAAGGAATTACAGAAGAATTCCGTCTTTTCCAGCTAGCATTTTGCTGACCAGAGCATCTTTCATATTTTTTTTTTGCTGTTTGTTTGTTTGTTTGTTTTGGTTTTGTTTTGTTTTAGATAGTACCAGGGACAAAACCAAAAAAGATGTAAAAATTTTTTAAATTTATTAATGAAGGAAATAAAGTGTAAAGGAAGGCCAAGAGGGAAATTGAATATAAGAGAAGGCATATGTAGACTCCTAATAAATGGAGAGGAAAGGTCACTCTCTGGAGAGCCTCTGGACAATGCGATACTGGGTCCAGCTAAGGGTTGGAACCTTTCCTGGAACATTTCATGTGGGTGGCATTTCAAAGGCTGTACTTTGTGCTATAGCAGTCGTCCCAACAGTCCCCTTGAACCACTTATTTTGTCTCAAAGGTATCAAAGGACCTGATGTGGGAGATTGTGAGTAGATACCTAAAACCGACAGGCATCAAGCATAGTGGTAAGACATTAGGTCAGACAATTCTACCTCTGCAACTCATTAACTTCACTATACGATCAAGTTAGTTAGCTTCAGTGACCCATTACTGGGATTCTACCTTGAAATATTATCAAAGGGAAACGTAATATATTTAAAATGAGTGACATAGTAGGTACTCAATATGTGGTGACTATTGTTATTACTGTATAGAATGTCCCCAAAATAACCTGAAAAATTAGATTTTAATTGTTACTTGGTCAATGAATATATTTATTATTTATCAATTATTATGTATTTAATTTATATTTAAATATATGATTTTACCACTAATAATATAACCTTTATTTTTATTTATATTTCTGCTTTCAATAACTCAAAGTATTTCTACCTTTATAATCATAACATTGTAGACTACAGGTAGGAAGCAAAGCTATGATTTCTATTTTGCAGATAAATATTCTTACACAAGAATAAGATCAATAACTTCTTCAAGGCCAGTGCAGTACCTGGGACTTCCGTCTAGACCTCTCAATCCTCTCATAGTTCAAGTGGAAGTCAGATCTCATTTCTTGGGGCCTTCTTGCCTTCCTCAATTTTTTTTTCTATTTCTGATCCTAACATGTAAGGATATGGGGAAAAAGCCAAGATTCAACAACAATTTACAAGGTCACCTTTTTGTTTTGTTCAACAAATAGAGACGTTAGAAAGGTGCACAAGCCTGGCACCAGACAGCCTTGGGCGATGAAGCCAAGTTTTAACTCGGCAAAGCAGATGATGTTGTCTCCGGTATTCCAGTTCCAGCTGGGGATCTTTGGCAGAAAAACCTGTTCCATGGTAGAAAGTAGGTCAGACATTAAGAAGAAATACAATTCAAAGTTTTTTTTTTCTGAATGGACGTCTTTCTTGCATTTATTTGAAAGCATTTACTTGAAAGCATTTATTGTGCCCACGCCAGTGGAAGTGATAAGAACAAATTCAGCTTTTAAAAAAATTGTGAGTGGTCTACTGCTCCCATTTTTTAAAACAAAAATTGTAAGAGTTGCAAAATTGGGTCAGACGCTTAACGACTGAGCCACCCAGGTGCCCCCCTTTTTTTTAATTGTTAAAGTACCATATATGAAGGAAATCATATGGTATTTGTCCTTCTCTGACTTACTACACTTAGCATAATTCCCTCAAGGCCCACCTGTACTGTAGAAAATGCAGAATTTCCTTTTTTATGGCTGAACAAAATTCCATTATATTTATAGCATATATTTTATATATTTATTATATATTATATATATTTTATTTTTTTATATATATATATCCCCTTTTCTTTAAATATAAATGGAGACTTTAGTCTATCTATATTTAAAGTAATTATTGATAGGTATGTATCTATTGTCATTTGTTAATTTTTTTCTGGCTGTTTTGTAAATCCTCTGTTCCTTTCTTCTTCTCTTGCTCTCTTCCTTTGTGATTTGATGAGTTTCTGTAGATCTTAGAGTCCTTTCTCTTCACTTGTTGTGTATCTACTATAGGTTTTTCCTTTATGGTTACTATGAGGTTTATATAACTCATTTTTATAACAATCTATACTTAAATTTGATGACATTCTAAAACTACATTTTTATCCCCCCTCCCACATTTTATTTTTGATATCACAATCTATAGCTTCTGGCCTTGTGTAGCCCTCACTAAGAATCACAGTTATAGTTACTTTTACTACTTTTTTCTTTTAACCTTCATACTAGCTTCATGAGTGATTAATCCACCTTTACAACATTAGATTATTCTGAATTTTATGATGCATTTGCCTTTGCCATTGAGATGTATAATTCTATATCTTTTCCTGTTAGTAATTGATGCCCTTTCCTTTCAGTTTTAAGAAGTTTCTCTAGGGCGCCTGGATGGCTCAGTCGTTAAGCGTTTGCCTTCAGCTCAGGTCATGATCCCAGGATCCTGGGATCGAGTCCACATCAGGCTCCCTGCTCGGCGGGAAGCCTGCTTCTCCTTCCCCCACTCCCCCTGCTTATGTTCCCTCTCTCACTGTGTCTCTCTCTGTCAAATAAATAAATAAATAAAATCTTTAAAAAAAAAAAAAAGAAGTTTCTCTAACATTTCTTGTAAAGTAGTCCTAGTCATGATGAACTCCTCTAGATTTTGCTTGTATGGAAAACTCTGTTGATTCTGCAGGACAACACTGCCAGATAAGAGTACTCAGGGTTGGCAGTCTTTTTTTAAATTTCTTTCAGTACTTTGAATAGATTGGGTCATTTCCTTCTGGTCTGTGAAGTTTTTGCTAAAAAATCTGGTAAGTAGTATTATGGTGGTTACCTTTTTTTTTTTTTTCTTTTTAAGATTTTATTTATTTGACAGAGAGAGAGCACAAGTTGGGGAAGCAGCAGGCAGAGGGAGAGGGAGAAGCAGGCTCCCTGCTGAGCAGAGAGCCTAAGGACTCTCACCCCAGGACCCCAGGATTAGGACCTGAGCCAAGGCAGATGCTTAACCAACTGAGCCACCCAGGTACCCCATGGTAGTTCCCTTATACGTTACAAGTTGTTTTTCTCTTGCTGACTTTAAGATTCTCTCATTGTCTTTAGCGTTTGATGCTTTGATTATGAGTCTTAGTGTGGGTCTCTTTACTTCATCTTATTTGGAATTCTCTCTGTTTCCTGGATGTGGATGTCTGTTTTCTTCCCCAGGTTAGGGAAGTATTCAGTCACTATTTCTTCACATAAGTTTTCTGTCCCTTTCTTTTGTTTTCTCCTTCTGGGACCCCTATAATACAATTGACATTGTCCCTTAAGCTATCTCCACTCATTTCATTCTTTTTTCTTTTTACTAGTCTGGTTAGGTGCGTCCCACTACCCTGTCTTCAAGTTTGCTGATTCTTCTGCATCATCTAGTCTGCTGTTGAACCCCTCTATTGTATTTTTTGATTCAGTTATTAAATTCCTCAGCTCTGTGACTTCTTTTTGGTACTTTCTTATTATTCCATCTCTTTGTTGAAGTTTTCACTTTCTTCATCCATTCTTCGCCCTAGCTCAGTGAGCATCTTTATGACTGTTTTGAACTCTCTATTATGTAAGTCATTCATCTCTGTCTCATTAAGGTCTTTTTTCGAGGCCTTATCTTATTCTTTCATTTAGAATATATTCCTCTCTTTCTTCATTTCCCCTGAAATCCTACATTAGATAAAACAGCCACCTCACCCAGTTTAGAAGAAATGGCCTTGTGTAGGAGTTGAACCTTATTGTTCAACCCTGACATAGCTTCTGGTTGTCTCTCAAACCTTTGTGATTGTCTAATCAGACTAATTAATTTTTAGGGGCTCCCAGTAGTTGAGGGTATGCCCAGAGCTGTCAATGTCCCAAAGGAAAGGATCTCAGCACCTAGATTCAGGTGGACTGGAAGTTGGACTCTCAGGCAGCAGCTGTTAAAGTATGAAACTATACTTCTTTATGAATTTACATTTTTAAGTGATTAACAATTTTTTTAAAAGATTTATTTTTTCAAGAGAGGGAGAACATGAGTGGGGGGAGGGAGAGAATCCTCAAGCAGACTCCCTACTGAGCATGGAGCCTGATGTGGGGCTCAATCCCAGGACCTTGAGATCATGACCTGAGCTGAAACCAAGAGTTTGACGCTCAACTGACTGAGCCACCCAGGTCCCCCTAAGTGATTAACAATCTTAATGAGACTCCAAATTTCACCTGTAATTGGAAAAAAACTTTTTGAGTGTAGAGCTATAGGTCTATTAATTATAGAAATTAATGTTTTATTACTTAGATGAAATAAGTCATTTAACTCCATAGACTAAAAGAGGAAGATAACAGATAGACTAGAATGTTACCATACCTTGTTATGGGATTGAAGTATCTGTATGATGATTCTGGTATTAGGGTTATAGTTCTTGATAGAGAGAACCCTACATAAATAACAAATATGCTCATCAGTGATGTGCCATATTCAATGGCTTTGCGATATAATTAATTTCAGAATTAAACTGATATGTGGGTAAGCATAATAAAACAATACATAAAATTTACTGTTATGTTGTTTTCTAAAAATGTTCTGTTTAATAACATACACAGTAAACAGTGCTATTGTTTTAGTGATTCAGTAAATGAAATCTAGGAAAAGGTCAACTCTTGGTACTAGGAGACTGTGGTCTTCTGGAACCAATTCTTGAGGAGGAAATAGTTTCATATATTTTAGCCTTCAAACTCAAACACAGTAATTACAGGAAAAAAAAAACAGAGATCGAATTTCTGTCCATAACACGAAACAGCTCACAGACTATCTTATTCAACTTTCTCATTATACATATTAAGAAACTAAGGTCTATCTCATATGCACTGTATTATGCAGAGCATACATTCTCAACTGTTTCTTGCTATTTGTAGGATCACCTTTAGCTATGCATGTTTACTATGCTCTAGGGACCAGGAGTTCATCTGGGTTAGGCACAATGCCATTGCCATCACAATGATAGTTTGAAGCTATTACTACAAGTCAAGCTCCTGCTCATAGATAGCTCATAGTTAAAGGCGGTTAACCCAACTCTAGTCATCTTGAAGATACTTTCCAATAATCACAAACACATTATACCAAATGATACACAATATTTCAGCAGAACTACTGGAGGAAAAACCCCAATAAGTAAAGTCTACTAACAGGGCTCACCAATCACAAATGGCATCTTTATTTTTTGTTGGTTAAAGATGTTATTTATAATGGTGTTATCTGAACAGGTATCAGTTATTTGTATGCTTGCCTTTTCAATTTAAATAGTTAGTATCCATATGAAACTTTAGGAAAGTATGTGGAGAAGCACAGAGATACTTAGAATACTCTATTTTTTACTTCCTTGTTCCTACATCTTCACAGCCTCTGGGAGAAAAAAAAAAAGGCAGAAACCTTGAATAGGATGAACCTAGTGCTGTGACAGATGATGTCTTCTCCTCTTTAGTCCATTGAACTGGCTTTATTTTAAAAGAGGTAGAAATAAAATCCACATTGAAGTATATAAAACAAAGTACCAGGTTCTTACCTCATAATGTTTGAAGTGTCTTCAGCATGGGAATCACTACACAAAGGGTTGGCTATAATCAGGCATGCTTCTGCAGATTCCACCTATTCTTCAAGATTAAACAGCAGCCACCTTGTTAATTACATGGGAAATGCTCTACTGTGCCCCCTCTGGTTTTTCCTATGGTTTTATCATAAAATTTCCCATAAGAAAGAGAACACTCTTGGGAAGGAGTTGTGATGAGGATGTCTTTACACCAGGATCAGAGTCCTGTAGATGCTGTAACGGTCTCTAACAAAGATGCAAGACTGCTTTAAAATGGAGAAAGTACATACTTATATTTTTCCTATTGTCCAAACTCAAGTTTTTAAGCAACTGCCTGTATATTTATGTGTTCAGGACAGCAAAGAATGGGGGAACTGGAAGTATGTTTGGGCCAAAGTAAGCATTCAATATTTGTGGATTCTGAATCTTAAGGATCTAGAAAATTATTGAAGTGGCTCTTGTAATACCGACTTGTGGGAAAGAGAAAGCTTATTCTGAGTCTGTCATTTTCTATTTCAATTCTTTATGTTAACTTTATAGATCTCTGATTCTAAAAACTGAAGCCCTAAGTTTATATGATTCTGTGAAACCTAAAACATGGGGTGAAACTGGCTTTGATCTTAGTTGAAAGCTGTCTAGATGGTTAGATTTTGCTCATTATTTTTCTTCCCAGGCTTAATGGGATTTCTGCTATTTTCCTTCATGTTTCTCCTATCAGAAGGCATATTAGTGTGTTTAGAAAAAGTTAGGAAATCTGTCATCGGGTAATGATCCTACTTGGATGGTAAGATTAAACACACTTCTGCTGTCCATAACTTTTTCAGAATTTTTAGACTGATAAAATAAAACTGCATTAGATAGAGAATTTAGTGAAATAAATAAATGTATGTAAACAGTGAGTTCTGCTTGATATCTGTCAAGGAGGATTTAGAGACCAATTACTACATTTCCTTTATGATTAGTTTTTAAAATTGAGGAAGTCTTATTTTCCTCCAATTTAAGCATCTGGAGTAATACTCTTGAAAGAGCAATGCATTTTATGATCTTAATTGTTGCAGCTTAGGGAAACTAGAAGAAGAAAAAGAACCAGTTCTTACCGCAACTCGCCTCAGATCATCCCACTTAAGTGCAGATCCAGAAATAAAAGTTGTATAGGCCATGTTGCACTTAAATATGGTTTCTAATTCCAAGGAAGGAGGGACCCTGGACAAAGAATGTAGTACCAAAGATGTAAAAAGATGCCTGAATTTAGTGTAGAGATTGTTATATTTATTTAGTGCCTTTAACAGAATTCCTAATTTCCATTAGGAAAACATCCATCCTCCCTTACTTATCCATACTAGCCTTATTCCAGGCATGGGCCTGAAGCTCAGACTTAGTCAATCACTATGATATGAAAAAATGCAAATCACACTGATGTCCAAAAATTAAAAAAAAAGGAATTACTAAGGATGCTAAAACAAAAACATTTTAGTCATTCAAAAAGATATTTTAAACAATGGCATTTTAAAACAATGATGAATTTAATGAAATAGCTTCTAAATAAATAAAGAAAAATTGACAAAACTAGAGAGATAAATTGATGAATTGTCACTGTAATGAGAGATTTCAACACATTTCTCTCAATTATTGATTGATTAAACAGAAAAAAAAATGTCAAGTTTGATGTTTCTAAGTCCTTTCTTTTCTTTTTTCCCTTTATTGAGGTATAATTGACAAATAAAATTGAGAGCTATATAAAATGTATCATGTGATAATTTGGTATGTGTATATATTGTGAAAGGCTTCTTCCCATTAACTTTATTTACATATCCATCACTTCACATGGTTACCTTTTTTCAGGTTAAGAACATTTAAGTTCTACTCACTTAGCAAATTTTAATTACACAATATAATGTTACTAGTTTTAATCACTATTTAATGTTATACATTAGATCCTCAGAAATTATTCATCTCAAAACTGGAAATTTGTACCCTTTACCAACCCCTTTCTATGTCCTCCCCCTGCATCCCAGCTTCGGGCAACCACCTTTCTACTTTCTGCTTCTATGAGTTTGACTTTTTTTTCTTTGTATTTGTATTTTTGTATTTGTCTGGCTTATTTCACTTAGCATAATGCCCTCCAGATTCATCCATGTTGTCATAAATAACAGGATTTCCTTTTTTAAGGCTGAATAATATTCCACTGTGTGTGTGTATATATATGTATATACATATGTATGTGTATATATGCATGTACACATATATGTATACATATGTGTGTATTGTATGTGTATATATATATTTTTTATATGTTCATCCATCAATAGATATTTAAATTAGGTTGTTTCTATACCTTGGCTATTGTGAATACTCCTATTTTTTTTTTTTGAGAACACACAAATACTTATCAAACTGATAAATTACTTGACAAGAAAGCCTCAACATACTACAAAAAAAAGCTGTCATACGTATTATGATCTCTGATCACAATACATTTTAAGTTAGAAGTTAATAACAAAAAAACTCTTCATTTCTTAAAAAAATAGACTGCTAAAAGTCACCTGACCCAAGAAGCAATTATAATGGAAATTATAAAATTCTTAGAAATAAATCATGTTGCAAACACTAAACATCTAAGTCTTTGGATACAACAAATGCAATGCTTTTGAAGAAATTTATAGCTTTGGACATTAATATTGGAATAAAACCAAAGAAATAAGAAGGAAAGAGACAATAAAAATAGGAGTGCAAAGAATGAAATAGAAAAGAAATTATGAAACAAAGAAGATCAACAAAACCAAAAGTTGGATCTTTCAAACAAACAAACAAACAATAAGAAACTAATACAATAGGTAAAGCTGTAGTAAAATCGATGGGGAGAGAGAGAAGACAAAAATATAGGGAATTGAATTCATTATACTGAATGAAGAAGAAAAAATACCTACAGGAAAAGTAGAGATAAAAATAAGAGTGGAAGAATACTACAGATAACCAAATGTGACAGCTTTTAAGATTCATACAAAACAAATTACTAAAAGTATATCCTATCAGAACTCACTCTAGAGGAAACATAAAGCCCATATAGTCCTATGACTATTAAAGAAATTGAAGCCATAATTTAAAATTTCTCAAAACAAAACAAAAACAAAACACACACAGACACCAAACAAAAATTTAAGTCCACCAGTTCTAAATGATTTTACAGTATCTTCTACCACACTTTCAAGCAATAAATTATCCCGTTTTTTATACAATGTCTTTTGAAGATATTAAAAGAAGGGAATAGTATCCAGCTAATACTACAAAGTCAACTAACCATAACTCCAAAGGTATTAATGTAATTTACCACATCAACAAATTAAAAGTAAAAAAATATATACAGAGTCATCTCAGATGCAGAGAAAATGGTTATAAAAAATATCTTTTTACAGTTAAGAAACACAGCTCATGGTATTTGAGGAATAGAAGAGAATATCCTTAACCCCATAAGGAATATCTTTAAAATAAAAAAGGATGGATGTCCTTAATGACAAAATATTAGAAAAGTTTTCTTTGAAATGAGAAAGAAAAGATATAATCACCCCTTTTTTTCCTAATGTTATATTTGATGTCTCATCAAATACAATAAGAAAATAAAATAAATTGTACACAGGAGGATTGGAAAGGAGGGAATAACTGTCTTTATTTGAAACTATTATTTACATAGAAACCCCTAACAACACTACAAAAAAAAAGGTTTCAGTAATGGAGAAATTTAGCAATATGGATAGATAGAAGATTAATATACAAAAGTCACTTCTGTGTTTTATACCAAAAGCAAACCACTAGAAAAAGTAACTAATAAGACAGTATTTCCAATAATATCAGAAAATATCAAGTACCTAGAATATAAATATACATAAAATAAATATCACATTATTACTGTTTTATGTTGTATATTCTCTAAGCCTAGTTATCTGGCTCTTCTGAAAGTTTTGAGAGCTACATAATATCTATTTATACTTAGGCATAAGTGGATTTTGTTTATACCACTAAGTATCCTGATATATAGGAATATAAATTAATATTTTACCTTTATGACAATTTATATCATAATATCTTGGAAATTTTTTTTCTTAAATAACAGGTAAACAAAGAAAGAAAAGAAACAATTTATCAGTTTTCAATTTTTGCTTAAAAATTTTCAAGATCTTTGTGGCTTGAGATAACAAATTGTTATTTCTTGAAATTCTTTGTTTTGATTTGGCTCAGCTAGGTGACTTTTCTGCTTCATGTGGTTTTGTTGGAGTTAATCCTATGTCTGCATTTAGCTGAGGGCTTTAGTGGGCTAGAACATCCAAGATAGTATCATCTATATGTCTATTGCCTCAACTGGGCTAGCTGGAGGGCTGGCACCTGGATGGGCCTCCTCTCCGTCAGAGTAGGTGAACTTCTTCTGTAGTGTTTCAGGGCTGCAAGAGACTGGAAGCAGAAGCTGCCAGGCCTCTTAAGGGCTGGGCCCATAACTGCCCCAGGCACTCTTGTATATTTTGTTGGTTAAAATGAGTCAAACAGCAATCCAGTTTCAACAGAAGGGAGAACAGACTCTACTTTTGTTGGAGGAGTAGAATATGTGTCAACAATTGTGAGGAATCCTGGCAGCCATCTTCTGAAAACAATCTACCTCAAGAATTCACATCCCTCCCCTGTACAAAATATTTTCACTTTCTCTCACCCAAGTTTCTTTTTTTTTAAATTTTATTATGTTATGTTAGTCACCATACAATACATCATTAGTTTTTGATGTGGTGATCCATGATCCATTGTTTTCATATAACATACAGTGCTCCATGCAGTACGTGCCCTCCTTAATACCCATCACCAGGCTAACCAGTCCCCCCTCTCCCCTCCCCTCTAAAACCCTGTTTGTTTCTCAGGTTCATGGTCTCTCCTGGTTCATCTCTCCCTCCAATTCCCCCGCCCATTTTTCCCTTCCTTCTCCTAATGTCTTCCATGTCATTCCTTATGTTCCACAAATAAGTGAAACCATATGATAATTGACTTTCTCTGCTTGACTTATTTCACTTAACATAATCTCCTCCAGTCCCATCCATGTTGATGTAAAAGTTGGGTATTCATCCTTTCTGATGGCTGAGTAATATTCCATTGTATGTATGGACCACATCTTCTTTATCCATTCATCTGTTGAAGGGCATCTCGGCTCTTTCCACAGTTTGGCTATTGCGGACATTGCTGCTATGAACATTGGGGTGCATATGGCCCTTCTTTTCACTACCTCTGTGTCTTTGGGGTAAATACCCAGTAGTGCAATTGCTGGGTCATAGGGTAGCTCTATTTTTAAATTTTTGAGGAACATCCACACTGTTTTCCAAAGTGGCTGTACCAACTTGCATTCCCACCAACAGTGTAAGAGGGTTCCCCTTTCTCCACAACCTCTCCAACATTTGTTGTTTCTTTCCCTGTCCATTTTGGCCATTCTAACTGGTGTAAGGTGGTATCTCAATGTGGTTTTGATTTGAATTTCCCTGATGGCTAATGATGATGAACATTTTTTCATGTGTCTGTTAGCCATTTGTATGTCTTCTTTGGAGAAGTGTCTGTTCATCTCGTCTGCCCACTTTTTGACTTGATTATTTGTTTTTTGGGTGTTGAGTTTGAGAAGTTCTTTATAGATTTTGGATATCAGCCCTTTATCTGTAGTGTCATTTGCAAATATCTTCTCCCATTCTGTGGGTTGCCTCTTTGTTTTGTTGACTGTTTCCTTTGCTGTGCAGAAGCTTTTTATCTTGATGAAGTCCCAAAAGTTCATTTTTGCTTTTTTTCACTAGCTTTTGGAGATGTATCTTGAAAGAAGTTGCTGTGGGCGATGTCAAAGAGGTTACTGCCTATGTTCTTCTCTAGGATTTTGATGGATTCCTGCCTCACATTGAGGTCTTTCATCCATTTTGCGTTTGTCTTTGTGAATGGTGTTAGAGAATGGTCGAGTTTCATTCTTCTGCATGTGGCTGTCCAATTTTCCCAGCACCATTTATTGAAGAGACTTTATTCCATTGCATGTTTTTCCTGCTTTGTCAAAGATTATTTGACTATAGAGTTGAGGGTCCATATCTGGGTTCTCTATTCTGTTCCATTGGTCTGTATGTCTGTTTTTGTGCCAGTACCATGCTGTCTTGGTGATCACAGCTTTGTAATATAGCTTGAAATTGGGCAACGTGATGACC